GACCTCATTATGCACCGAAGAGCACCTTACTGATGGGCGCTTCGTACCACTCTTAGTGGCGTGGAGCACTTCTTCTCTGCTTCGTCACTGCAATTTCTCAAACTCGCAATTTATTGTATTTGACTGATTCATGTTCGTGCGAAGTAGCTAGCGCCAGGTGATGATAGTGCAATGGGGAAAGGCGCCGCATCTGAATTCTTCGATATACGGCTCAAATCACGATGAACGTTTGATAGCTCAAGTTTCACTTACTTCAAGGTTGAGCGAATAGTCAAGAGAGCTAAAACTAACGTGCACGGGTAATTCAGGTAAAATCAAAAATTGACGCCATACCAGAAAACGTTACTCTCAAAGAGCAGAAAATTGCTGGAAAGCTCAAGGCGAAGCCTGTGGTGAGGGCTCTTCCACTCAATCGTCTCTCATTTTCAAATACTTGATGGATTACTTTTTTCTCAAATCATATCTTGCTGATTTGCTAGGTCGTTAAGGTTTCCCCGTGGAGCGAATGCAGCAAATGTGGCGAAGAAATTGGTGAACAAGCAAGAAGTATTCAGTGTATGATTGAAGTACGTACTGCAAGCAATGTGGACTGTTCTTCCAAGGTGGAAGCCATGATACCGATGCGCCACGCATTTGACAACCATTCACCATCGTAACGGCGTTTGAGTGTCATTCGCCCTGCACACATAGTGGAGCATAGCTCATTTACATGTGCACTGTTTTTATCTTCGCTGGCAAATCTAGGATAAATCAGCTGACCAACGTTAGCTATATGGTATGGCTTATGCGTCTGGATGGCCTGCACGGGAATGGATGCAGGATTTGGCCCCGGGCAGGGTCAACACCACGTTGGTACAAGTACCAACCATGGGGAGATTGTCGAATCTGCGAATGTCTAAGGGTAAGCGGATAATTTATGTTGCTCCAACCTCAAACTGAAACAGTGCAAACGGTGGTCGTATCCGTGTAATTTGAAGAGGTTGGAATCTCGTGATGGGGAAAGGAGATCCTTTCTGACGAGTTTTTTTTTGACGATTTCGGCAGAAACTTCACAGAATAGTGAAAAGTAGAAAAATCGGAGGGTTCGCCCGTTCAAACATATTTACGCCCGCCCCTTTCTCATGCCACCATTCGAATCGACGACTAGATAGAAAAACTGGGTGCAGTCGGAGGGGGTTAACTGGTCGGAATCAAGTATTACTATGAA